TAGAGGGCAGTGTCACTGGCCCTCATATGTGGGATCCGAACCGGGGCCCTCTGGCGTCCCAAGCCAGCTCTTAACCAACGTGCCACTCGGCCGGCCCAGAGCTAACACTCTTGAGCAAGCTCTTAACCAACTGAGCCACTCGGCCGGCCCTCTCCTGACTTTTTTAGTTTTAAACGTAAACACTATATATTTTAACCTCTTTTTTCATGTGTCACTTTTATGACACAGTGAAGTGTTACCCAGTGAAGATATTGCTTAAGAATTCATATACCTGCTTCTCTGAATATCAGTTCAATAACATTATTTATGAATCTATAGTTTTTTAGCCAGTCTTAAACCAGTCTTCAGTTGGACATTTGACATATTTGGAATTTTTCACTACTAGGTGCAAGTTATGCACGCACAAAGTACTTTCCAATAATGTTTTAGTAGGTATCCCCTGTACAATATAATAAGTTCATAATCCCCATTTTCTGTGTTGGCACAGAAAGGATAATGGGTATTACGTACATGTTTATATATGTAACGTATCTGTGTATTACAGATAAGGGGTATTAGGATTAGAACTTGTCTTGAAATTTCAATATAGGTTTCTCTTTTTCCCAATAACTGGTCATGCTTAATTAAGAAGGACATTCTAGGGCTGGCTGAGTGGCTCAGTTGGTTAAGAGTGTGAGCTCTGAATAACAGGGTCCACAGTTCGATTCCCACATGGGCCAGTGAGCTGCGCCTGAGCTGAGCTGCCGCTGAGCAGCCAACAGGTGGCAGGATGGCTCAGCTGGTGAGAGCACATGCTCCTAACAACAAGGTTTCTGGTTCAACTCCCACATGGGATGGTGGGCTACGCCCACCTGCAACTAAGATTGAACGTGGCACCTTGAGCTGAATGGCCAGGAGCTGCCGACAGGCTGTCGGATGATGACTAAACTTGGAGCTGAGCTAGCGGCACCCTCCACAACTAAGATTAAAGGACAACAACTTGGCTGTTGCCCTTCCCCAACTCCCCAATAAAATCTTTAAAGAAAAAACAAAAACAAGACATTCTAAGCATGAGTGACAGTAAGGGACAGTGGAAAGAGTGCTAACCCCTGAAGTCCAGGCCAGGCTCTGCTGCTGACTTACATGTCCTTGAGCAAGTTACGTGACCTTTCTGGGCCTCATTTTTCTCATCTTTAAACGAGGGAATTGGATTCTAGCTCTGTAGTGTCTTTCAAATACAATATGCTTTTCAGTAAACAGAACACACAATTTTACATTATTTGTTTTAAAATTGAGTCTGTAGAAGCAAAAATATGAATAACTGACTTGGCTCCTGCCCCATTTTTTCCCCTTAGATGATTTTCTCAAGCCACAGATAAGAATGCATCCTGAAACGACAGTTGCCCTAAGAGGCGTGAACGTGACTCTGACATGCACTGCGGTGAGCAGCAGTGACTCACCCATGTCTGCTGTGTGGCGCAAAGACAGTGAAATCTTGTATGACACCGACATTGAGAATTTTGTTCGTTACCAGCAGCAAGCTGGAGAAGCTCTAGAATATACTAGTGTCTTACATCTTTTCAGTGTGAATTTCACAGATGAAGGAAAATACCAGTGCATCGTTACTAATCACTTTGGTTCTAATTATTCTCATAAAGCCAAACTGACTGTGAATGGTAAGGAATTATGCTCCCTAATAGTTCTTTGTAGTTAGAAAGATTTTCATGTTCAATTTTGAACCACCTGACCCAAGAAAATTAGGCTAAACCTGACATTTGAGGGGAGGATCTTACTGTTTTTGTCTTTAAGGTTGTGATAATTTATAGACTGGATTGTCAGTTTGTCCTTCCACTGTCCCTAATTGGTCATTGGTTGAGAGGTCAAGGCGAATTCCATGGCTCCAGGAGGCAGGCTACTTTCACTGTTATTTATGCTTTTGAAAACATTCATTTGAAATTCTCCATTTTCTTTCCAGAACCATAATTCTGTCCTGAAAACTATGAAATGTATTTCTGACCCTGTTTACAGGGCCTTCCAGTAACTGGGAGTGTTTAGGACATTTCTGGGTTCAGTGATCATCATCATTGTCTAAATGTAGTCACACAGATCAGTTTTTAAATTAATGCTCTTCTTCACTGGCTGTAAAAATCCTCCCAAACAGCTTGATTTATTTATTGCGTATTAGATTGAGTAACTACAACATTTTAGACTTTGTGCAGCCAAAAAATATGCTTGTGTCTTGCTTCTGTGTTTTATGAGATTTTTGAAGGCATACACTTTTTTTTTAAATTAAATCAAGAAGTTCCTTGACAGCTTCGTAGATGTTAGTTTGGGAAGCACCAAGGGAGTTAGAGTAAATAATCAGGTTAGAAAATAACGGAGTTCAGAAAGGTTTGTGGCTATCTGCTTTCGCTGTCCCCATCAGGGAGATCAGGTAGGTGTGTCATGCATTTCTAGAAGAGTTAGTCATCCCTGTACTCCAAATACTCTGAGGATCTGGTAGTAGAGATTGCCTCTGAAGTTGTATTTACTGTCAATCCAGAGAGCATGTCTTCTCACAGAAGTGGAGCATTATGACAGTTGATATTTGGCCTAACAGATTCTCTCATGTACTCGTATGTATTTGTGTGTGTGTTTTTTTTCCCCCACCCACATTCTCTTGGTGATCTTTCTTGGAACAGAGATGCCATCTTTCCTGAAAACGCCAATGGATCTGACTATTCGTACTGGTGCCATGGCCAGGCTAGAATGTGCTGCAGAGGGACACCCTGCACCTCAGATTTCCTGGCAGAAAGATGGCGGTACTGACTTTCCTGCGGCTCGAGAAAGACGCATGCACGTCATGCCTGAGGATGACGTCTTCTTCATTGCAAATGTGAAAATAGAAGACATGGGGATCTATAGCTGCATGGCACAAAACATAGCAGGCGGCCTTTCAGCAAATGCCTCCCTCACAGTGTTAGGTATGCTTCGTGCCCCGTAGGGCCCTGATTTTGTAGGAGCTTTTTTATTCGGGCCTATTCTTGGTCTTAATGGCAAGGAAAGTGTAAGTTGGAGATTTCAGTTGTGATCCGAATATATCTTCATCACTTTATTTTGTCAATTTATGCAGGGCTCTGTCAGCCTACAATATTAGTGGATCAGGGAACTGAACCTGGGGAAATGCTGAGGGCAGAAGTAGAAATCTTTATCACATGAATTGAAAATTCAAATCCCTTTATCTTGTCACCTCTCTCTAAGGTTTCTACTATTCATTAGTGAGTTTGCAATTAGTTGTTTTCTACTGCTTCAAATACTGCTTCATAGAGAACTGCAGACAATTTAACTGTTGTTTCTCTTAGTTCATTTTGTAAAAAATGACCTGTCTTCTAGTTAGATTTCCTGTTTTCTTTTCAGTGTGTTCCTCTAATCCCAGTGTGCTCTGGTAAAATGTCTTTTCCCTAAAGATTTCCCTAATTTTTTTCCTTATAAGCCTAATTTTTTCCTTATAAGAATTCTTTTCTTCATTTGACTCAAATCCAAGGCAAAAATTCTACTTTTAATTCTCTGTTCCCCTAGATGTTAAGGTTTTTGAAAGTGTTGGTTTGTGTTATTTACTTGTATAATCAGAAAAATAAGTTCATTGTGTTTTGTACAGAACATTAGGAAAAAGGAGGGGAAGTCACTCAAACACTTGTTAAAGATTTTGTCATAGACTTTTTTTTCACTCATTTTTATGTAGTTATGCATACCTACTTGTTTTTACTTAATATTGCATCACAAGGTTCACCCTTTTTTTTTTTAAAGATTTTTTTATTTATTGGGGAATTGGGGGGAGGGGAAGAGACAAGTTGCTATCCTTTTGTTCTTCAGTCTAGTTGTGGAGGACGTTGCTTCACTGGCCCAAGTTGGTACCATCATTGCGCTCTTCTTGGGTGAGGCAGATCAGTCGTCGGTTTCTGGATGGCCGCTCACGCTGGCTGCTGGTTACACACGGTAGCCCATGGCAACCCACTTGCCCAGCTCCAGGTCGAGCTGTTGTTCAGCATCTTAGCTGTAGAGGGCAGTGTCACTGGCCCCCATATGTGGGATCCGAACTGGGGCTCCCTGGCATCCCAAGCCAGCTCTTAACCGATGTGCCACTCGGCCAGCCCACAAGGTTCACCCTTTTACTGGTCTTCATAAAATATTACATGGCCCTGTACTGTAATTTTCCTGCTAGAGTTTTAGATTTCTTCCTTTATTTTGAAAAATTACAACTAAATTGGTAATAAACATGTTTGTGTATATACAATTTTGAATTTCTTAGCTTAAGATAGCTTGCCTGAGGTGGAATTGCTGAGATAATATTTAGATTTTTTGAGGCATTTGCTTTTCTGAACCATTAATTTCTAATCCTCCCATGAGTATATGAAAGTGCTTATTTCATTATAACTCTAATCTGATTTAGTCGGATTTAAGAAATAAAATTGCTTTATTTGATTTTTTTATACCTCTTCCTGTTAGAGACACCCTCATTTATCAGACCCCTGGAAGACAAGACGGTCACCCGAGGTGAAACTGCGGTCTTGCAGTGCATAGCTGGAGGGAGCCCTGCGCCTCGCCTCAACTGGACCAAAGATGACGGGCCACTGCTTGTGACAGAGCGGCACTTCTTTGCTGCGGCCAACCAGCTTCTCATCATCGTCGATGCCGGGCTGGAAGATGCTGGGAAATACACCTGCATCATGTCCAACACCCTTGGGACAGAACGGGGTCACATTTACCTAAATGTCCTTTCATCCCCCAATTGTGACTCTTCCCAGAGTAGTATTGGCCATGAGGATGATGGCTGGACCACAGTTGGCATTGTCATCATTGTTGTGGTCTGCTGTGTTGTGGGCACCTCATTGATTTGGGTCATTGTTATTTACCACATGAGAAGGAAAAATGAAGACTACAGTATCACAAACACAGGTGAGTGGTCCCCAGTTGACACCTGTACCTTGTACTTCAGTCAGTCAGGGACGTAGTACAGGATTTACAGTAAAATGTAAAAATCTAAGGAGCTTTGATACTTAATGTGTGGTAGAACGAAGAGTTTTTCTGTTAAAATGTTCTATTTTCTTGATTTAATGGAATCCCCTGATGAATAATTTTCAGAATTTGTAGACACTCCCTGTAAACGTTGCTCTCATAAACACCTTACAGGTGCGCCTTCTTTCCTTAATGCCGGGGCTCATTTCTGTCGTACATAAGAGTGGAGCCCTTATGACTGAGCCCAGTCTTTTATACCCCTCACCCTGAAATCCTGTAAGAGAAGAGGTCCAGCCAGACAAATTGTGAAAGTGTGCCTAGGAATAAGATTTCAGACTTTAGGTTGTGTTTCTTTTGGTAGTACTTTTAAGATGAAACTTTTAGAAGAATTCTAGTGAGAAATGGTTTTAGGGGAACATTCCAAAGTACATAATCTTTTCTGGTCCAATAGTATCAAAGTGCAGCCCATTTGCAAAATAGTCTTCTGAGTGTTGGCTTAAATGGCCTAACTTTATTTGCGTGTTACTTACAGATTTCTCTTTTGCAGAGGAGCTCAATCTGCCTGCAGACATTCCCAGCTACTTGTCTTCCCAAGGAACGCTGTCTGAGCCACAGGAAGGCTACAGCAACTCTGAGGCAGGCAGCCATCAGCAGCTCATGCCTCCCGCCAATGGATATTTACACAAAGGCACTGATGGTAATGACCCTTGTATATGTTTACAATTTCAGCCCTATCCTGTTGAGTTTATTTTTCAGTGTATAATTTCCCCTTTAACCCAGAGCGATATTTTAAACTAAGATACTGAGTGAAAACATTTGGCCCCATGCAAAACAGGGTGAAAATTGACTAAAGTCTTAACAGAGAAGAAAATCATCTGACAGAAAAGAGACACATCCTTAAACAAGAGATTGGGAGTACGTACACAGCAGAGGCTTCCAAACCAACGTGTTACTGTGGGAAGGAGACGCTCTAGACATTTTTTTCAGGCATCTTTTTTTCTGAATCAGGCATGAGCATCCTTTAGACCATATCCGGGGGAGGTGTGTTTCTCCTGCTGACAGGTAGATAGATACTCACTAAAGTTTCAGGGGTGATAATGATTCGCAGTGTATATTGGAGAACATCAGAGAGAGAGAAAATGTTCCCTAATTAAATGAGTCCAACTTCTCAACACTGCTTTTCTTCTCCCACTCCGCCCTCCCACAGGGAGTGATAGGACACGGGAGGAAGTAAGGGATAGGAGAATGGGGCGGCATTACTGGTTCTCCTTTCCAGCTTCATGGCCATGAACAAGTTACTTGAGATCTGAGCTTTAATTTCCTCTTTTTTTTTTTTTTTTAAATTGGGGAACAGTGTGTTTTTCCAGGACCCATCAGCTCCAAGTCAAGTAATTGTTTCATTCTAGTTGTGGAGGGCACAGCTCAGGCAACCTTGGTGTTATGAGCACTGCATTCTAAACAACTGAGCTAACTGGCCGCCCAATTTCCTCATTTTTAAAATAAAATATTTTACAAAGCACTTCTCCCAAGATTCTCACAGATTTTTTTCAACAAATCTGTGTGGTACATCAGGGTATACAAATGAAATGTCTATTCCATTTCTACAGAGATTATTTTAGGCTGGGCATTAACAGAACTTCTCTTTTTAATTGATAAATTGGGTTTTATTTTGGCTTTCTATGGAAAGGGCATATTTCTAACTTTTTTAAAAGAACACTTAAAAACCTTTACTCTGAAATTTGTGGGACCTAAATTGCCTTCTGGGTTAAACTAAATTACTTTTAGGTCCCTTCCAGTTCTAACATTTTGTTGCTTGATCGTGAATAAGTAACTCGCACTTGATTCCTCCGTGTCTTTCCCCTCTTTCCTCATTCAGTTTTCAAACCACATAAGAGTCCAGAGAGCTTATTATTAAACTTCTGCCAAACACTTATTTGTCAGACAGGACTTTGCCGTCGGAGGCTTTCTCTAGGGGTACGTTTAGCAACTGGTGTTGCATAACCTCTTGACTCATGAAAGTAATACGGCGTTTGGGAGTCATTACAACTCCTTATTCTCTGCTTTAGTTTGCTTAAGCCAAACGTGGCTTATAGCCCAGTGCCAGCCGTATTTTGGCTCCCTTGGTTTGAGCATGACCTTATTCAGGCTGGACAAAGATGGTTTAGTGTTGAATTCAAGAGCATGAGCTCTGGAGCCAGGGTGCCTGCGTTTAGATTTCAGCTCCTCAGTCTTTCAGTATGTCTTTGGGCAAGTTATTTAACTCCTCTGTGTTGTACTTGCCCCATCTGTAAAATGGAGATAATACTGTAATAAGACCTACTTCACAGAGATGCTGTGAGGATTGAATTAGTTACTTCACCTGGTTTTTAAAGTAAGTGTGGAATAAATGCCAGCTGTGATGATAATGATGGCAGCTTCTGAAGAAGACTGATTGGCAAAACTGGTTCCTTAACTGAAGGATGTTCGGGTTCTTTCCCATGTTTCCTTAGGTGGCACTGGCACCCGGGTCATCTGCTCAGATTGTTACGACAATGCCAACATCTACTCCAGGACCCGAGAATACTGTCCCTACACCTATATTGCTGAGGAGGACATTCTAGATCAGACACTCTCCAGTCTCATGGTCCAGATGCCCAAAGAGACATACTTGGCACATCCCTCCCAAGATGCCACTACCCTGGAGAGCCTGGTGTTAGCAGCAGATAGAGAGGTGTCCGCCTTCCCCACCAACCATGAGAGGATAAATGAGAAGCTGCCCTCCTCACAGATGAGCAGCGGTAAGGCGCACAGGGCTTTTTTTGTTTATTTTGTTTTCACTGTCACCTTCTTGATTTTTCCTTCTGTCATATAGGTAGCACTCTCATTTGACAGGAAGCGATCAAATTGGTATAATGGAGGAATTAGCTACTGTTAACTGGTATAAACTAGAGCAGAGATTCTCACAGATTAGAGTTATGACGAAGTCTGCATCTATAGGATGAAAACAGCTTTTGTGGGAATAACAGGATCACACATCTAAAAATTTAGAAGCCATATAGAAAAGGCTTTTAAAAAGTTTCATGTAGTTGTTAATTTTTTCTTCCCTCTTTATTTAAATGATGGAGATTTGAAATGCTAAGGATATTATTTGGGGATACTCTGGTGAAGGTTTTTATTGAGATTTTAAAATGTTTTATTTGGTCACTGTGCTACGAGGTATGTATTAAATGTCAGTATCACTTGGCAGGTGTTTGCTTTTGTCTGTGAGGAATTAGGATTGGGGCCATGAGTGGGAAAGCAGTTTAGGATGGTGTCCTTGGTCCCACATAGCCCAGAAAAAGGAATACATGTTAATATTGTCAGACGAGTCATTTGATAACTTGATCACTAAAACAAAATGAAACACTTTCAAGACAGTGAAGGGCACGTGTCTTCCTGTTCCTCCAGGCTTCTCATCAGCTGTCACCCTTCTGTCTTCCTGAAATGGAAGAACTCTGGAAATAGGGGTGGGGGTGAGAAAAGGTGTATAGAGGACGACAGTGTAGCGTGGTGATTCCAGAAACAGCCCTGGCAGGAGTAAATTATCTGACCCGGGACTTCTGAGATGTGCTCTGTTGTGCTTAACTAAGGGACCAACTCTAAAAATTTTAAAGAGGGTACAGGTCAGAGACAAGTATACTGTCACTGAAATTAGTCTGTCTTTTTTTTTTTTTTTAGTATTATTTTTATTGGGGAACAGTGTGTTTTTCCAGGACCCATAAGCTCCAAGTCAAATAGTTGTTTCAATCTAGTTGTGGAGGGTGCAGCTCAGCGGCCCATGTGGGGATTGAACCGGCAAGCTTGGTGCCATGAGCCCCCGCGCTAGCCACCTGAGCTAACTAGCTGCCCCTAGTCTCTTGTTTTTAAAGTTCAGTGTCCATGAAAGAAATGCACCAACACGGAATCCATTTTCCCTTGCAGTGCATCTTTTTCCTGACTTTGGGGATGTTTGAAATGTTCATCTGGTCTGTCAGTGAGGAAATCAGCAGATGCGAGTGTGTGGGTGCATTGCTCATGCCTTACCTGGGCTGTAGCTCTAGCTCCTTGGTACTCAGTGTTGTCTGTCAGCATCCGCGTCACCTCCGAGCTTGTTAGAAATGCGCGTCGTGAGTCCAACCCTGACCTACTGAACCAGAGTCTGTATTTTAACAAGATCCCCAGGTTCTTTGTATGCATATTAAAGCTTGAGAAACCCTGCTTTCGTCCACTTTTCACATGGGTTTTTTTTATTTTTATTTTATTTCTGAGCATTTGTTTCCAGAATGTTTGACTAGCCTTTTCTAAGATGCATCCCCATGAAGTTAATATAACTTTCAGTAAACAATCTTTGGGGAGAGCTCACCACTGCAGTAAATAAGGAGAATGAGAAATTCAGTTTTGAGACCAAAGTACAGATAATCTGATTTAAAATTGCTGCTTTTGGTTATTTAGTTGTTAGAATTATTAGCATGCTAGAAGCTGGAGGGAAATGGCTGTTTATTTTTAAGACAATTTTTTTAACATAGGCATTTAATTGTTATTTAAAAATGTAATGGCTGGTCTGAATCAATTTTGATCTATGTATCACGTGACTTTCATTACACTATGGATATTATTAGTCTGTTTTCCATGTGTCTATAAAGAGCTTTATTTTCAAAATTTTGTAGCAACAGCACCAATAATAGGTGAAAGTAGATGACATACAGCTTGGATTTAGTAAATAATTGGTTGAGTTTGTTGAGTAGAAGGGTTTGAAAGACCATAGTTCCAGTTTTTCTTCTGGTAGTTGGTGCTAAGAAGATGGCCAGTATATATTTGATCTCCAGGTCCTTATTCAGGAATATTGGACATCTTTATTTCTTTGAGGATTCGGGTAAAAGAAAATTAGATTTTAGGAAATTAATTTTAAGCCTGTCTTTGCCACTGATAACTCTTGTCTTTGATTCTCAGAAACGTTTCAGCGGCCTCTGTGGAACATAAGCAGAGAACTAGGCCTGCCTCATCCTCCCTATTCCCAGCAAGCGGTCCTTGAGTCGCCACCACTCCATCCAAACGAGGGCCTGGCAGAGAGTGGTCCAGACTGTCCTGCGTCCCCCACGCCCTGTCACAGGTCACCTAACCATACTTTTGATTTTAGCAGGACTCGGAACATTCAAGATGGTAGTGAGGGCACATGAAACTCATTCCAGGATAAAATCTGGGCAGAGACCCCAATTATTAATTTTGTATGTACTACCTCAGAGTTCAGAAGACACCCAGAATCAGCATTTGCTTTAGACTTTGTCTGCAATTACATCTGACCACACCAGGGTGACCCAGACATCTGTTTGGGCTTCTGTTTGACAAAGAAGGAGTAACGGCTGGCAGAAATGGGTACAGCTCGTAAAACAAGTGCCGCAGGGGCATACACGAAACATGTGCTCCCTGATGGTTCCATGGGATGTGCCCAGGTGTGCACTGCATGTGAGGAAGAGTCTCGTTGCTGCTTAATATGCTGATTGTCTCAACCCACAAAATGACTGTGAAAACATCACTGTTCTATTTTGCCTTCCAAAGAGCAAAAACAGCTTCGGAGCCCTCTGGGAAGTGCTTCTGGGATTCGTCAGTGGCATTCAGCGTACAGTTGAGGCTGGGGCTTTGATACTGAAGGCCTTGGACAAGAATCTCAGGCCTCACCCACTATCACCGGGTCAAGGGGTTTTGTATTCTTGTGAATATTTTTTTTTTGGGGGGGGTCCCTATCACCCAGGGATCTCATTGTAAATATATGTGCATTTATAAATAATTTTTGTATTCATTGACCATATGTGTTGGCTACAATGTAAATATTTTTGATATGCCAAAATTGTATATATCCAGTTATTATATTGACAGCAGCTTCTTAGACCACGGATTTTTGTATAGCTTCGTTTAAAGTTTCAAAAATGTATTTGTTAAGTATATGTATAGAGGCAGGGTACCTAGCAATTGTGTACACACAAACACAATCTTGGTGTAATTAACCACTTCATACCTAAAGATTCATACATCTAATCATTTGCCATCTGTTTACAAGTGCCAGGTACTATTACCTTTCTATTGGGTCATCGGGAAAGTCATGACGCATTTTTGCATTGAAAAACGTAGAAAAATACGTCATGACTTTCCTGATGACCCAATAGCATAAAAAGGCTAGCAGTCTTGTCATAGCCATGTGCACAGAGATAAGGGACAACTTGTTTGGGGAGTATCTCCTTTCAACAAAGTACTTAGTTGAGAAAACCAAAGATTGCTTCTTTTCTGTGTTTGTTTTCTTATAATGTCTCTTCTGCCAATGCGCGGTGTATTTTAAGAAGGGAAGAGGGCTTTTGGGACTGGAAGAATGTGCAGAAATTCTTATACTATAAAGCTTTGGAGTGGCCCTTGTTTTGTACAAGTGATTATTTAAGCCAAAAAGTTTTCCTGAATTTCTGGTAGAAAGCTTTATTTCAACAAAGGACTTAACACTAATGGAATGGAATGAACTAAAGTTCTTTCTTTTTGCTTTCAGATTTCCTTACATAGGCTTTCAGACTCTGTCCTCTAAATCTATTAAGTACTAATTATGAAGAGATAACTTCAGTCACTTCAATGACAGAATCTACTTCTGAGTCATTGTGCATTTCAAGGGTTCTAAACTCACATAATTTCTCAGCTTTTGCTAGAAAGCCTAGCTGAATTTCATACTAGTTTTCAATCCTAAATTTTTCTCTGAGAGGCAGCAGCACTACTTTAGTTGTTTTATACTACTATGCCTTTTTCCCCCTTTTTAAACTGTCAGCCTCTTTCACTTTGAACTTCTTAACTGTCACTATTTTCCCGTCCCTTCAATTTATGACCCCTCTTCTTCCTTACTAGGTTGTCATATAATTTGCACTGACTTTGACTCAAGAGACTCGATTTAGTTTCCAGCCCTGCAACTTACTAGTTGTGTCATCAAGGGCCAGTCCCTTTGCTTCTCAGCCCAATTTTCTCGTTTATGAAATGAGGGCATTTTACTAGATGCTCTAAAGCCCTTTCCAGCTGTAACATTCTATGAATCTGTGAGCCCTCCGGGAACCGAGGAGGATTATGCTACTCTAATAAAAAGCTGCTTCCATGAAATGTTTGTTAGAGTAGAACACGCGTGATGCTGCTTACTCTGACTTGAGCCAGATTTGTTTACTCTTGAGCAGGAGTAATGGTGTCAGAAATACTCTTGAGGAGAAGAAATCCTCTGCTTCGAAACAGTATCAGTAAACAAAGACTCTTAACTCCGTTGGAAACCACCCTTTGCTCTCTAGACCAGCAGGTCTGAGTGCTAGTGGTACAGAACCCCAGAGTCAGGTGAGAGGCGTGCCAGCTAATCTGTAGCTAATGTGTGACTCCCTTACCTTTCTGACGTATTCAAGGTTAGCCCTGTAACTATAGTACTCCCACTCACATTCTGAGAGACTTTCCTGAGTGAAAAAGGTGGAGTTAGAGCTAGACTGGAAGTGAGCACCAGCTGTTACATGTGAGAGGACAGAACAGGCTGTGAACCAGCATTCTAGAAAACCTCAAATACGAGTGCTGCCTCTGCTCTAGCTGTGGTCATTCTGCCTCTGGTGGCAGAGGCTGGTCTCCTTCCTGCACAGCGAGGTCCTCCATTATGGCAACTCCAATGGTTGAGGTGTCCTCCCAGATATTTCTAACTAAACAACTTGCTTAAAAAGCTAGTCAGGAATTTGTTTGAATGTGAAGAACCAATCCTTGGTCTTAAAAAAAAAAATAAATTCAATAAATTCTAATCTTCGGAGGAATCCCTGAAACTTTTCATTATTGCAAATGTTTTTGACCAAGCAGTGATTTAACTCTCTACTATAACCAGGATTAGCGGCTCATCAGTGTTGCTTTCCAGCAGTATATTAATCAGGGATGTTGCAAAAAGCACAGCAAGCTGAAATGCTGAGAAAACTACTCTCTGCCCCCCACCAAATTACCACTTCCTACCAGGAGGGATGCGTCAATTCTGTTCATTTGTTTCTGCCTCTCTTAGACTGAATCTTCAAGTCCACCTGGAAGAAGCAGCATTATCCTTGAACTCTAGGCCTTACTGGCTTTCTGTCACTCAGCAGCTTCTAAAATGCTCTCTCAAGTATACAAGTTACTATATAGAATAGGAACTAACAGAAACCCAGCCCAGTGTGCAGACCTCTCTATTGCGCCACCTCAGAATGCTTTAAAAAAATGCAGTTTTCTTAAGGTGAATTCCATGTTTAAAAACAGTTGCCTTTACATTGCTCATCGGGAGGCTGTAGAGGGAACATTAAGATGTCAAGCAACTTAGACTGTTATCCATTTTCCTAAGGAACGGGAGATATGATAAAAGTCTTCAGTTACTTAAAGGATTGTCATACAGAATAAGGATGAGATTCACTCCATATTCCAGAAGATGGGGTGCATATCAGGGGGGGCAGAAGTTACAGGGAGGGTCAGTATACACTTGCCGATAATGCTGTATAAGCTAATACTCTAACCATTCGGTTTGTCTGACAATCGGAAACAGCCTTTTGTGGGAAAAGTACAGACACAGAAGCTAAATAATAATCTGTTAATAGCATTGAAGAAATTTCTGCATTGAGATGGAACACGGGCAAGATGACCTTTAGGTCTCTGTTTTATCATTGGAAATCCCAGAAGCAATTTGATGTTCTTAAAAATTTGTCCTTCAGAATCCTTTATATGCAGTAAGTACAGAGCACTCAAGAATTTTTTTTAAGAATTTTGGGTTTTGGTTGACAAAAGGAGCCTGTTCTGTGTTTAATGGCTGCAAACATGAAACTCTGGGCTTACTCTCCTGAGGAAATTGATAACTAGTTAGTAACACAAATGGAATTAACCATAGTAAAAAAATTTAAAAGCCTATAATGTATTACAACCCTCCCTTTTACTATTAATTTTTATTGGAGTTTCTTCTAATCAGTGGGATGCCATTTTGAATGGGGTTGGAATTGTGATGTTCAATTTTATACCAGTTATTTTACCCAAGTGAGTTATGGCCTTTTCTAATTATTTGAATATCCACAAAATGCCAAGAGGGTAAATGTGCTGTCATTGTCATTTTATGCTACATCCTCCATTTCTTATTTTGCTTCTTGAAGCAGATTACCGAGGTAATGGACCTTAAAGGTTGAGCTAAGATTTTTTGGCAACCTGCGAGGAATGTTTCATTTTTCTGTTACATGGCCTCTTTCCCAGTTCAGTTGGGCAAATATTTTTCCTTCCTGCTTCTTCTAACTTACAACTTTTTTGTTTGGAGTACAATAAACCAACATCAGTTAGCCTCAAAATTCTTTCTATTTTGGACAACTGCCTGGTTTGTTGCAAAAAAATAACAAGTTCTGACTTGAGAGATCTATTAGAAGCTGCTCTTAACAAAACACCTCAAAGCCCACAGATCATCTGAAGGTTTTGTGGGTACTAAGGTGTGTGTGTGTATGTTTTAAGAGTAATATTTGGGGCCGGCCGAGTGGTGCGTTGGTTAGGAGTTGGCTTGGGACGCCAGCTCTGAGCAGCAGGGCCCCGGTTTGGATCCCGCATGAGGGCCAGTGACGCTGCACCCTCTACAGCTAAGATGGTGAACAACATCTCGACCTGGAGCTGGGCTGCCATGAGTCGCCCGCAGCTGGCGTGAGCTTTCGTGAGAGGCCATCCAATGGCCGGTAAGCGACTGCCTAACCCGGGAAGAGCGCAATGATAATACCAACATGGGCCAGTGAAGCAATGTCCTCCACGACTAGACTGCGGAACAAAAGGACAGCAACTTGTCTGTTCCCCTCCCCCAATTCCCCAATAAAATCTTGGAAAAAAAAAATTGAGACCTGCTCCCTCAAGGTTGAGTGTTTTTTTGCAGCCCTGATCTCCACCAGTGGGTGGGGTGAAGGGGAGAAACAGTGTGATTTGAGCCTGTTTTCAAATGTAAGAAGTATAATTATCAACTGTAGCTATCTTGAAAGAGAAATTGAACATCAGGTGGTCAAGTGCTCTTGGCATATTTCTTGGCTACTTAAAGTGGCCTCTTGATCCATAAAGAGACTATTTGTACCCTGTCCTTTTACCCTGTTACCCTTTGTTCCCGTCAGGATGTCAGTCTGAGCAGCCCTGGTACCAGATGTACCTGAAGAGAGTTAGAAGCAAAGTGTTCAGTGTGGCCTTTCCTGGTATCTATATTTTCTCACACATGAGAATGTATATTTTATAAAGCATGTGTTTGTCTACTTGTTTGTCTACTGTAATATGTCTTCAATAAAGCTAAAATATGTTATAACTCTCTGGTCTTCGCATGCCTAAAGCACAGCAGCGAAATGGTGCATTTCTAAGTGTGTGGGGTTTTGAGAGGGTCCCCAAGTAGCTATACAAGTTACATGGGAAAGAGTTTTGCTCTAGTTTCTGTCATGTGAGTCACATACTTCCTTGAACATGCCACAGGTGCCCCCTGCAGCCCCTGAGGACTGACACTATTCTCTGCCTCCCTCGCGGTGTCAACCATGGTGCACGAGGCCTGGCAGGATGGAAACAAACTTACTTAATTGTTCTTGAGAAAATAAGAGTGCCTTCTTCCCAGGGAAAAATTTGAAGGCAGCATTTTTTTTCTTTTTTAAGACCAGCCAAGTTGTTCTTCAATCTTTGTTGTGGAGGGCACCAGTCACCATCTGGCTGCCCATCGGCAGCTCATGGCCTCTAAGCTCAAGGTGCTGTGTTCAGTCTTAGTTGTGGGTGGGTGTAGCCACCATCCCATGAGGGAGTTGAACCAGCAGCCTTGATGTTAAGAGCGCACTCTATCCACTGAGCCATCCAGGGGGCAGCTCAGCTCAAGGTGCCGAGTTCAGTCTTAGTTGTGGGTGGGCGTAGCCCGCCATCGAACAGGCAATCTTGTTACTCCAGCTGAGCCATCCTGCCACCTGCTGGCAGCTCAGCGACAGCTCAGCTCAGGCGCAGCATCACTGGCCCATGTGGGAATCGAACTGGCGGCCCTGTTGCTCAGAGCTCGCGCTCTTTAAGCCAGTTCTTAACCAACTGAGCCACTCGGCTGGCTGGAGGTAGCATTTTCTAATTTGGTAAATCTTCGGTTAACAAAATATTGGGAGAATGGCGGTATCCTGGTCCGCTTTCTCACTGGACCATGTTGGGGGCCATTTCCTCTGAGACTGTCAGCTCTTCGAAGGCTGGGGACCCCGTGTGTATTCTGTTGTACTTTATTCTCTGTGAGGCACATCCCACAGGCATCATCTTACCTGAATCTCACAACACTCTTAAAATGTAGGTTGGGCAGGTCATTTTAATCTCCACTTTTTGTAGTTAAGGAAACTGGCTTCATGATGTCACTCATACAGTATCAAAAAGCTTTTAGGCAATCAAGCCAGGATTTGAATTCAGATTTTCTGACTCACATTGAGGATTTTGTCCACTGTGATACCTCCCAGTTCTGAACAGAGTGTCGTGTCTAAAGTATCACACTCATGGGCCGGCCGAGTGGCGCGATGGTTAAGAACTCGCTTGGGATGCCAGAGAGCCCCGGTTCGGATCCCACATATGAGGGCCAGTGACACTGCCCTCCACAGCTAAGATGCTGAACAACAGCTCAACCTGGAGCTGGGCTGCCATGAGTCGCCGGCGACGGCGTAGGCTGCAGTCCCTGTGGCAGTGCGTTGCCATGGGCTACCGTGTGTGGCCAGCAGCCAGCGTGAGCGGCCAGCAGCTGCTGTGAGCGGCCGTCCAGAAGCCGGCGACTGATCTGCCTCGCCCAGGAAGAGCGCAATGATGGTGCCAACTTGGGCCAGTGAAGCAACATCCTCCACAACTAGATTGAAGAACAAAACGACAGCAACTAGTCTGTTCCCCTTCCCCCAATTCCCCCAGCACTGTTCCCATCCCCCCAATTCCCCAATTAAAAAACATAAATAAATAAAGTATCACACTCATTTGGATAAAAAACCCTTTGGCCATTGGTCATTTCCAATATGGAGAAAGTTTGAACTGGAATGTACACTGGAAGCTGATTTTTGCTGTATTCCTGACAGGAAAACACTATCATTTTCTTCTCATATAAGGATGGAATGAAGAAAAATGCCACAGTCTCACTACTTTTTGTTTTGGAGTGTGATCTGCTAGATCCAAGTAGTAGCATCTGCTGACTGAGGAAAGAGTCTTTCACACTCTGAGAGCTATTTAGGAGCTTGTAACCCAGTGCTTAAGTTCTCTCTGCTGCAGGGCCAGTTGCCATGGACCGATACTTTTGTAAAATTCAATAAGGATGAATATTTAAGAAAAAAATATAAGCAGAAAGTTCTCATAGATTTAACAGATATAAAACTACCCTGTCAAACTGCTGTTTCTCAGTGCTTATTCTTGATTTCTGTGCTTTGTCACGGACCAGTAGCAAAGAGTGTGGAGAGGGACAGGTCCGTAGACCACGTGTGGAGGAGCTGCTGTGACCATGCTCACAGTGGTGTCACGATGGGGACTGTCGGGCTCCTTTCTGGAGGTTCTTTTATTCTCGCTGGTTTGGAACGGTTGAAACAGAACTGGGCTTGTGTCTGGCGGCCTCCCTGACTAGAAGCAACCAGTAAAACACCTTTTTGGCTCAGCCAGCTCCCCCTGCACGAAATCTAAGTTGCGAGCTGGAGACCTTTGTAACACACCGCCTGTTCTCCAGTCCTGCTGTGAGTCTGGCCAGTGCGCTAGGGTGGATTGCCTTGGGGTGTGACTTTTGTTTTCAGGGAGATTCTATCACAAGATAGTCATAAGGGAAGAGGAAGAACATAGGTCGTCATACAAACTGGGAGGGAGATGGTCTCACGCTGCAGGGTCTGATGTGGACTGTGTGTAATCACTATAGTGAGGCGTCTCTGGGGATGTCTCTCCTGCCACCTCTGCTGCAGCCTGTTCAGCCAATCAAGAAGTGTTCCTTGAAATCTCTAGATTTGTCCCTTTATTTAGTTCACAGACCATCACCAAGGCTAGTTGCAAAGCACTTTGACAAAAAGAGGCCAATAGGAAGCATTAATCACAATTATTGCTAGGAAGAAATAATGCAATAATAGCAATACATCCGGCCCACCCCCTCCATATACTGTTAAGCACTTCACGTACTTAACACTTTTATCTTCACAGCAATCTCTTTGAGTGAGAGATTATTCCCACTTTACAGATGATGGAACAGGATAAGCAACTTGGCCAAATTCACATAATTAGCAAGCAACAGAACCAGTCTGTGGTGTTTTGTTATGGCCGGCTGAGCAAACTAATACAGCCTTGCGATAACTCAGCCAGCTTGGTAGAATTTTCTTAGAACTCAGGTCATGTGATTTATCTAAGGTCACATGCTCCAAAGCTGACCCATGCTGTCCTCTGATCCCAGTCAGCGCTGTAGATACTGAAAAGCACTGTAGAGAAACTGGAAATGAAACTGACTAACACTGGCTGGCATGCTTGCAGTCCTGACGCTCTGCACATCCCCAGCCTCTCAGAAGTTCAAACAAAAGGCGACTGCAGCACTGAAATGCTTGCCAGGACGCAAGAAACGGACATGTGTTTACAGCATAAGTGATTGTAAGTTGAGTGCGTCTGGAAAGAAAGAAGCAAACCATTTGGAGCATTCCAGAGTGCGTGCTTTTAAGCTATTTTATTCTCACCCAAGGAGACAACAGGTTTTTGTAGCAGTAAGTAGAATCCCATATATGGAATGGCTGGCTGTTCTTGAGTTACATGCCAGATCAAGTAGCTTAATTTTGTGTCCCTTTTAAATCCTCCATTAAAGCCAAGGTGAATTCCTGTCTCAAAAACAATAGGCATGTAGTTCAAGTCGCCAACGGTAGAACCTAGCTTGAATTATTTATTCTGGGTAAACTCCAGAGACCAGTGACTGGGTATGTGTTCCAGGCCTGAAACGGCTAGTTTAGAGAGGAAATAGAATTGTTGTCAAACAGTGAATTCCTGCTGCGTCTGGGGCCCTGATCTTTATACATATAACCTGGGGGGTGCTTCAGGACCACACAAATAGGCTCTTACTGAAAAGGGACTTAATGGTTATGATTCAAGTGTGTAATGTTGAGAACTTCTGACATGGGGAGAAGCACAAAATCACAATACAGTGCAGATTTTGGGGAAAAAGTGATGCATCATGTTGGTAGGAGTTGTGCGACCTGGGCCCCATGCCCCCATAAGCACCAGCTTTCTCTCTCTAGACGGTAGTCGCCTGTCTCACCTGCTAAATGCCTGCTGGTTCCTGAAGGTCCCTTGAGGGCAAAAGACTTTAATACCCAGGAAGGTAAGATGTTTGAAAACTCCCTCCTGTCTTCCCCTGTTGAAAGTCTCGGTGTCTCTTCCTTTA